CCCCCCCCCAACCCCCGATTCAGACTGAACGGCGGTCACCCGCCTACACCGACACTTCCCCCGTGCCAAGATGGGAGCGGGCCGCCCCGCCGCAAAAGAGGCTTTGTGCAGCCCGTGTCCGGAGAGTTAGTGCGGTCCGAGATTTCTGGGCTCTCTACTTTGCAATCTCACGTGGCGCCGTGTTCCTCCGTCTTGACCCCACATCTGGAGCAGATTCTCCCAGCCCCTGAGCAGCTGCGTGACAGAAAAAGTATTGACAGGGCTTGCTTTAATAATAGTGTCGAAGTTTTTGTAGGAGATGCTCCGTGTGAGATTTGACAAGACCCAGTAGGTGAGTCATCCATATATCCAGTCAACAGACGTTTATTCAGCACTTACTATGGCAGGCACAGTTGGCACTGGGCATACGCAGATGGAAAAGAACCTAAAGTAGCCCTAAAATAACTCCCTCTCTATCATAACTTTACTGGCTAAATTTATTTGAATGTCTGAGCCCCGCCTCCAGAAAGAGTTGGTGGTTTTAAGGCTCTGTCCTGGTACACCTTGTCAGAGCCTTTGCTTAAAATAGTCCGGCTCTTTGTACATTATTGCTGTCATATTTGAAGATCACTTGCTGATACGTAATCTGATCGTTGCTCTTAGGCTAGTGACAAAATCCACAACTAAAGACTGTATTTGTTCTACATTAACAGTACAGTTAGAAGCCTAGAAGGCTTTGGAGACAGGTTATCAGTAACCATAGGCCATTTTCTTAACCTGAGTCTCAGTTTCCTTATCTGTAAGATGGGGATAAAAGGACCTAGAAAATTTATGAAGATCAAACGGGATGATTCATGTAAAATGGCCTAGAACAGTGACTGACAAATCTTGAGTGCTTGATACAAGTTTATTATTAATGACTAATGTTTTCCTTTACTGTTCAAACCATTCATATCTGACCAATCCCTAGAATTGATGGGCCTAGTGAACTCCGGCAGCTAAAACTCTTCATTTTTTGTTAGTTTGTATCGTTAGGAAAGGAACTGGAACCCAGTCTTGGGATCCTAGGCTTTCTATGGTAAGGGACAGGGGGAAGGACAGGGACTTCTAGGGGAAACTGGTTGTTAAAGTCACTGCTGTAAAGAAGAGCTGTATACTTAGCCCTCTGAGAATTGATTCATTCTCTGTACTTTACTTCCTCAGTCATCTTTTCTTGTCAGAGCATTTTTCCCCCTCAATTTTGTTCATATACAGAGTTGTCAGTTCCATATCATATTTACTTAACCTGGGAAGTATCAAGTGGATGATAGTGTCAGGCTTTTAATGCCCCATGACTTCTAGATGCCCAGTTACCTACTTATATTGAGGTCAAAGTTGTATTTCTTGTGGTTTTATAATATCCCTATCCAGCATTTTCCCATTAAGATGGTTGACAAGGGTGGTCATTTATGAGTGCCTACTATGTACCAGGCACACTATGTGTTATGGTTTGCAATCCTCATACATTGTAAAGAATCCGTGAAATTAAGTAATTTACCCCACAGGTTGGCGGTAGATAAACTGAGATTTTGACTTCCCACTGTCCCAAGAGGTTAGGTCAAATTACATTAGGATAAATGTCCTGGCAACTTTAGACGCTGTCATGGTAAATAGCCTGTATAGAAATCTCTACATAACAAACATAGAGGACCTTTGTAATAGAAGGAAGGCTATAAAAGGAAAGAAGTCCCTTGGAATTTTTGTTACATGAATGGTATTTACAACTGAGCTACTTCCTGTACTATGATTACTTTTCTTTCTTGCCCAACTTTTTGTTACATGTAATATTTGAATTTTCATTTGCTTAAATTTCTATGCCCTTAACTATAATTCAGTTTCAAATTCTTGTCGCAGTTGTGTAAAACTTCTCATTAGGTATTCAAACAATTTCATCTTAAAGACATCTTTAAGAATTTTCTGGACTGCTTCAATTTGAATTGGTTATTCTATGTGCCTAATACACAGCAGTCATCTGGAGATCTTCTCCTGCCATTATTCTGGGGATTCCCTTTGCTGCATTCCTGTGTTCTCTTCTAATTTTATTAGAGAACTTCACTAGTTTTGTAAGAAAAGGTGTATGGGTACATTTTTGGAGACCTGTGTATCCAGCCAAGGTCTAGCCAGGGAAAAAATGGCATTACTAAGGCAGTGCTGAATGAAAGCTTAAAGAAGAACTATTTACAAAGGTGTGAACAGTATCAAAATGGGGCTAGCAAAAGCAGGAAGATTTAAGCCTAAAGGGGAAAGAGGAAGGAATGTTGACTAGAATCCAGAAAGAGCTGCAGCTATAGAAAAGGATTGCTCAATAGGATCTATGACTTCAGTAAAGGAACACAGTGCTGAATTCTCTCTTTCTGCCCCCTGGTATCTTGCCAATGTCTCATGTTGGGCAAATCTAACCAGAAGCTGTAGGACAAGAGAATTCAAGTGTAGCAGTCCATGCAAGTCTACCTCCCAGAGCACAAAGAAGGGTAGAGAAGGGTGGACAGTGGATCTGGAGGGACAAATGGAAGATATCCAGCGCACCTTTTATGTTTGAAAATGCATTTAGTCTATACTCACTTTGTGATAGTTTGGCTGGGTATAAAATTCTTATGTTGCTAATTATCTTCCCTTAGGTTTTTAAAGGCCTTGACCCCGTGTCAGCTAGATTATAATCTTTTTTAATGTTTATTTATTTTTGAGAGAGAGAGACAGAGAGAGTCAGGGAGGGGCAGAGAGAGAGGGAGATACAGAATCCAAAGCAAGCTCCAGGCTCTGAGCTGTCAACACAGAGCCCAACTTGGGGCTGGAACTCATAAGCCATGAGAACATGACCTGACCCAAAGTTGGACCCTTAACCAATTGAGCCACCCAGTCGGCTAGATTCTAATGTTGCCACTGGGCAATTCAAAGCTATTCTTATTCCTTATCTTTTGTTATGTGTTCTTTGTTCCCCCCCCCCTTTTGTTATGTGCTCTTTGGAGGCCTCTAGATTTCCACTAACACATTTGCACCTCCATCCACTATCTGCACTTTCATGTCAATTTTCCTGCCAATTATCATAGGAAGAAAATTCATATTCTTACACTAAAACACTTACATACTAGATTCCATCTCTTCTCAACTCTAGGACATTGATCCAACAATTGTCCCCTCTTTCTCTATATAATCATTTTTGATCTCCACTGGATCATTTCATTAACATTCTTCCATTCTGAAAGAAAGAAAGGAAGGAAGGAAGGAAGGAAGGAAGGAAGGAAGGAAGGAAGGAAGGAAGAAAAAGAGAGAAAAAGAAAGAAAAGAGGTACACCTGGGTGGCTCAGTCAGTTAAGCGTCCAACTCTTGATATGGGCCCACGTCATGATCTCATGGTTTGTGAGTTAGAGACTGAGTCAGGCTCCATGCTAACAGTGCAGATTCTCTCTGTCCCTCTCTCTCTGCCCCTTCCCCACTCTCTCACCCTCTCCCTCTCCCTCTCTTTCTCTCAAATATATAAACTTTAAAAAAAAAAAAGAAATCTCTTTTAACCCTACTTCTTCACCAGCTACTGCTGTATTTATTTCTTCTCTTTAACAGAAAAATTCTTTCAAATAGTTGTCTCTATTTGGTGTTTTCATTTCCTCCTCCCCTTTGTCCTTATAACCCACCTTAATTAGACTTTTGCCCCTCTGACTCCACAAAAACTGCTCTTATATCTCCTTTTTGCTAAATCCAGATCTCTGTCCTTGTTTTTCTTAACCCATCAGCAGCACATGATACAGTTGGTCACTCTGTGTGGATATCTGTCTTCACATGGCTTCCAGGTCACCATGTTCTTGTTCTTTCCCTGCCTCACTAGCTGCTCCTTCTCAGTCTTCACCATTTCCTCATTTCCACCACTTAATGTTGAAGGACTGCAGGGCTCAGTCTTTGTTCCTCTTCTCTAATTTTGGTGACCTCATCCAGTCTCAAATGTATGATAATTCTCAAATGTATGATACGTTACTTTACTTTAATTCTTTATGTACTTTAATACTCAAATGTATGATAAAGACTCCCAAATTTGTCTCTCTAGCTCAGAGCCTCCATGTGGAACTCCAGACTAATACATCCAACTGCTTATTCCACATCTTCACTTGGATATCTAATAGCATATTTCAAACTCAACATGTTCCAAGCTGAGCAATTTTTAAAAAAATTTTTAAAGTTTATTTTTGAGAGAGAGAGACAGAGACAGAGCGTGATTTGGGGAGGGACAGAGAAAGATGGAGACACAGAATTCGAAACAAGCTCTAGGCTCTGATCTCAGGGCTTGAATCCATGAGCTGTGAGATCATGACCTGAGCTGAAGTCGGGAGCTTAACCGACTGAGCCACCAAGGCACCTCTTTAAAGTTTATTTTGAGAGAGAGAAAGAGAGGGAAAGCAAGAGCGGGGGAGGGGCAAAGAGAAAGGGGGAGAGAGAGAGAGACAGAGAGAATCCTAAGCGGGCTCTGCCCAGAGCCTGACTTGGGGCTCTATCTCACAAACTATGAGATCATGCCCTAAGCTGAAATCAAGACTTGGACACTTAACTGACTGAGCCATC